CTGTCCTACTTGGTACTCAGTATCTCCCCAAGGACAGGTTAGACCTTCTTCTTTCTCCACTCATCAGTCTAGTGGCCAAATCCCTGAACAAGCCTGGTGAATTGACTTCACTCACATGCCCCCTATTAAAAGAACCAAATATCTCTTAACCCTATTAGATACTGGGTAGAAGCATTCCCCACTGTGTCTGAAAAGTCCTCCTAGGTCACTCAAACTCTCATTCAGCATATCATTCCCAGATTCTGCCTCCCCACCTCATTACAATCAGATAAAGGACCTGCTTTCATATCTCAAATAACTCAACAGGTCTCCACAATGAACATCCAGTGGAACTTACACACCACCTACCAGCCCCAGTTTTCAGGCAAGGTAGAAAAGGCAAATTCCTTAATTAAGTCTCACCTAAATTAACTCTCGTAACTAAAGAACCTTGGACTACTCTCCTACCTCTAGCCCTTAAGTGCATCAGGGCACCCCTCCCCCACCCCTGCTGTGTAACCTCCTTTCTTAGTCTCATTGAATTCATATATGAAGACTTTTCTTATTAGGAAACTTCCCTTTCCACAGAGACCCCTCTAGGAGACTGTGTCCCCATTTTTTTTAACCCTTTAAAAACATATTTTTTATTGATATCAGAGAGGAAGGGAGAGGGAGAGGGAGAGAGAGAAGCATCAATGATGAGAGAGAATCATTGATTGGCTGCCTCCTGCATGCCCCCTACTGGGAATCGAGCCCACAACCCGGGCATGTGCCCTTGACCAGAATTGAACCCGGGACCCTTGAGTCCACAGGCAGATACTCTATCCACTGAGCCAAACCAGCTAGGGCTGCCCCATTTTAAATCTCGCCCAGCAATTACTGAGAAAACATATTGATCAGGTCCTCCCTCAACCTTTTACAGGAGACATTTCCCCTACTCCCCTACAGCCAGGGGACTGGGTCCTCCTAAAGGAACCCCATCTGTCAAATAATTTATAGCCCAGATGGCAAGGCCCTTATCAGGTACTCCTAACTCCCCCACCTGCAGCTAAACTAGCAGGGCATACCCCATGGTTCCACCCTTTTAGGTAATTATCCTACAGCCCAGGCAAATCAAGCCTCCCTTCTTTTCCCTACTTATATTCAATCTCTTGCTAAGGTAGCTCCTTCCTCCATCCCAGTCACAGTGCCTATCACTCTCCACACCCCACTAATCACCCAAGCCCCTTTGTGCTTTACAAAGTCACAGGACAATATAACAATAGGCCATCTCCCATCATCAGCTTGCAACCCCACAGTTAACCTAGAACTATGAACAGCCAGTGGTCCCAAGGGCTTGACTACCAGGTCTCCCCAGAAGCCAATGGTTATTTCCTACAGATGATCTGTTTTATTTCTTTTTTTAAAAAATATATTTTATTTATTTTTTTACAGGGAGAAGGATAGAGAGTTAGGAACATCGATGAGAGAGAAACATCAATCAGCTGCCTCCTGCACACTCCCTACTGGGGATGTGCCCACAACCAAGGTACATGCCCTTGACTGGAATCAAACCTGGACCCTTGAGTCCGCAGGCTGACCTCTATCCACTGAGCCAAACCGGTTAGGGCTGTTTTATTTCTTATTCAACCATCCAGGCTCAAGGCTTCACTGCTCCTTTCCTTCCCTTTCTCTTTTCCCTTGGATAACAGCCCATTCTAGTGTTCCTTCCCACTTTCACTGCAATAGAATCTCAACCACTCATCTGTCACCCCTTATCGGTAGCACCATGGAACTACCCTCTCAGTTTGGAGGGCGGAACTGGGAAAAGGAACCTCATACCCTTTAGTCCACCTCTTCTCTCTACACCTTTCAGCTTGTTTCCATGATCAGGGATATTTCATCTTTTGTGGGGAAAACACATACATTTGCCTCCCGACCAATTGGACAGGAACCTACCTCTCACCCAATGTAGATGTAGCCCCCAATAATCAATCTTACTGTCCCTGCAATCCATCATATCCGACACAAAAGGGCAGTCCAGATAATCCCTCTCCTCTAACCCTCGGTATCTCAACAGGTGTCGGGACTGGCATAGGAGGCTTAACCACTGCTCTATACTATTTTGAAATCCTGTCTCAGGACCTACAAGAAAGCCCAGATGACATGGCCAAAAGTTTAGTTCAAATTCAGGATCAGAGAGATTCACTAGCAGCTGTAACCCTCCAAAATCAGAGAGGACTAGACCTCCTAACGGCAGAGAAAGGGAGTCTATGCCTCTTTCTGGAGGAAGAATGCTGTTTTTATGTCAACCAGTCTGGCCTAGTGAGGGATGCCACCCAAAAATTAACGGAAAGGACCACAAAGATTAGAGAACATCAATCAAATTCATGGGGCTACTGGCTAAAAAATATAAATTGGTATACCAGCTTACTTCCTTTCATAGGACCATTAACATTCCTATTCCTCATCCTCGGTTTTGGCTCATGCATTCTGCGTCATTTTTCATCTTTTCTTCAGCATGGCTTTTGAGTCTTCACCAACCAGTCTCTTGGGGAAATCATGCTGCTGCAACCCCTCGATCCAACCAGGAGTAATCTATGCAGTGCTCCAGCTGACTACAATCAAAGTCCATCCCCTTATGATCTTGATGTCCCCTCTCAGATGGAAGAAATGACCTCCATCCCTATTGCATAAAACAGAAAGGCTGAATGTTAGGTCTGATCCAATAACTGAATCAATAACCCCTCCCCTGGGAACTGACCTTTAGACCACTTTACAACTGACATTCCCTTTTGCTTAGACCACTTTCCACTTATTAAGACCATTGTCTTTCCCCTCTGGACTTTCCCAGGATCTGGACTGCCCAGAGAGTTTGCTACCGAAAAAGCCCACTTAGAGTACTTTTGAAAGCCTCTGACTCCCCATCCCTGGTGCCCAGCACCAATTTTGGGCCTCAGCCCATCTGGCCTCCAGATGACCTAATTTCTATCCGATATATAAAAGGTTAATTTCCAAATTGTCCCCCCGGGAGTTTGCCCAAATGGGAGTTCGCCCCCTTGCTATGACATGCCCTGCCCCCGGGGGGGGGGGGGGGGATGGGGGCGGGTAGTGGCGCAGAACAAAGGAAGGCTCCGGCTGGCAGCCAGGGGAGGGAAGGCCCTGATTGGCCCTTATTGCCAGCCAGGCCTAGGGCCGCTACCTGTGCACAATTTTCATCACCAGGCCTCTAGTTAATTTATAATTCTTTACCACTTTTGGCCTTGTGCCTTCCTTGGTGACCCTAACAGGCCTCAGTTTCCTTCTCAATAAAACAAGGGTGTTATGATATTAAATTTAAAAAGGATAAAATATGTAAAATGCTTACCATAATGCTGTAGTAATGATAGGGGGACTTATAATTGGATAGATAGAGCACTTTAATTAATCTGAAAAATAACCATATTATTTAAATCTTAGAACACATATATTTATGTGAATAGGGGGTTAAGTTTCTCATATGTGAATAGGGGGTTAAGTTTTTCTTAAATTTCCTTTTCAAGGCCTGTCTGAAGCATGACTCAGCTGTGAATCCAGCAAGCTGAACTGATTATCATGGTCAGACCAATCCACCAGGAGTCAAACATCATCTGATCAACATCATCTTATCGCCTGATAACCAAGGACAATAGCTGACATCTGCGGACCTCCAGGGCTGCACGTAGCTGCATTCCGTTCCCAGCCTCACCATAGCCCCTTCCCCTTTATAATCCTGTTTCCTGCACTTTGCTATAAGACAGAATTTGAATGCTTGTAAGCGCCCTGTCTTCTTGGTTGGCTAGCCTTCGCAATAAACGCCTAATATGATTCAACCCTGCCTTCGTTATTGGACACAGCGACAGGCAGCCCGAGACCAGTAACAGTAGCAATGACAGCACTGGTATATGGTTGAATTTGCCACATAGAATTTCTTGTCTTTCATTTTTTTTGGCGGGGGCGGGGGGGAGGAGGGGAGTTCTAGGTATATTAATTTTTTTAATCTTTATTGTTGAAAGTATTACATATGTTCCCTTTCCCCCCTCATTAGCCCTCTCCAGCCCGCCCCTGCCCCCCACTTTTTTCTCATTCTATTTTCTACTATTAGCCACAGGCTGTCCTTACCATTCTTACCAAAGTACAGACAGGGCAAGTTGTCAGTGACTTTTTAAGGGCCTCCCCTTTGGTAGGCAGCTGTGCTATGACTTTTAACTGAATATCTACGCGTACTCACCTTGCAGAAAGCTTTCTATTTGTGCTTTCTTTTAAGAGTGTGTGTGTGTGGGGGGGCGCGGGGGGCGGGTCACTGAAGAATGGTTTTTGCAGGAGAGTGGAGAATGCTGAGAAGTGAAGGCGGCGAGAGTTAGAGGCAGGGAGGAATGCCCAGCGTCGCGAGTGTGTGGAAGGGACAGCTGTGACGGTGAAAGAAGTCTCAGGTCCTCTTTCTTTTCTACCCTAGGATGTGCCCCCATGGGCCCCACCACGCTGTGATTTAGTGTTGTCTGCGCATGTCAAGGTCTTTTGTCCCTCGGCGGACGCCGTCTGCCAGCCAGCGCGATGCCTGGGTGCTCGCCCTCTCCGTAGGGTGTCCGTGGGCTTCTACCTTCTCGTCCCAGCTGGCCATGGCCAGCCGCCGGGGCTCGGCAGCGCCCCAAGGGAGGCGGGAGCAGCGGGCGGAGACACGGCCTCGGGCCGGGGACAAGCTGCGGGACCTGCTGTGCGGCCCGCGAGAGGGGCGGCGGGGAGCCACGTCCCGGAATATGTGCCGGGACGGGGACGGGGACCGGAGGTCGGCGGCGGCCGCCGCCTTAGGGCCCCCGAGGGGCTCTCCACCCGCGCGAGCCCAACGGCCCAGGGCCCCAACTGCCTCTGCACCCGGGTCCTTTTGCTCTTCCCGGGCGGGTCAGCGTTCCGTCTCCACCCCGTCCTAGACCTCCACCTCGGGTCCGAGTTTGCTGTAAGGAAACCTGGGGTGCGGCTCCGGCCCGGCCCGGCGGGGGCTGGCGTCCTGTGTGTGAGCGGCGAGAGCCGAGAGTACACCTTTTTGGGGTCTCGCCGTTTCCTTCATTCTCCCCAAAGCCCCGGCCCGTTCATGCAAAGGCCCCACAGCCTCCAGCAGGCACCCGCCTCTCTCCCAGGCCGGGAACCGCAGGTTAGGGCTGCGCCGAAGGAGCTGTCAGCAGACGGAGCTGGAAGAGGGCACAGCGCCTTGCACATGTTAGGCCTCTGTACGTTGGAATAAATGAGCTGATGAATAAATAAAGCCACGGAGAGCAATGGCCTTGTTACGAAAAGAAAGAAACGGGGTGAGAGCTTTGTGGTCTTCAAGTGAGTGGATAGTTGGCTGGGAGTAAATGGAGCGTCATAGGTGCCGAGAACTACAGGGTATGCACTCGCTTACACCTGCAAAGCAGGAAGTGGAAGGAATGATGAAGGTTGATCTGCTCCGAACAGCTAACTGCTCGCCGCTATTGGAGAATACTTCAGGGCTTTAATGTCCCTTGCCAGTCCTGTCTTTTTTTTGTCAAATTTTAGGCCTTCTAGTTAGCAGGCACTTCCTGACACATACCTTTTCTTTTTCTTTTTTCTTTTTTTTTCTTTTCTTTTCTTTTTTTCTTTTTTTTTTTTTTTTGCTTCTGAGCAGGTTATCTGGGAACAAAGCAGGCCAAGTTTGGGCACCGGAAGGATCTACTGCTTTCAAGTGCTTGCTCTCAGCAAGGTTATGTGCTGCTCTTCTGAGCAACATCTCTGACTGTGATGAAACGTTCAACTACTGGGAACCAGTAGGTGACTTCTTTGGGTATTTTTGTTGTTCTTGATTTCATTGCCTGGGACCTTGTTACCAATCAAGATACAAATATTATATACACGTGTTACTAGTAATAAAATAACTTTATTTGCACTTTTGTATTCTAAGTTGATGATTTAGTAGTCGTGACTATTTTTTTTAAAATACATTTTTATTGATTTCAGAGAGGAAGGGAGAGGGAGAGAGAGAGAGAAACATCAATGATGAGAGAGAATCATTGATCAGCTGCCTCCTGCATGCCCCCTATTGGGGATGGAGCCCGCAACCTGGGCATGTGCCCTGACCAGGAATAAACCCTTGACCTCAACCACTGAACCACGCCAGCCAGTTGAAGGCTGTAGGGAATCTGGCTGTTTTATGAAAGGATATAATTTGTAATTTCCTTAAAAATTTTTAAAAATCAAAATAACACTTTGAGAAAGTTTTTAAAGTTAACCATTACTACAAAACTTTAAGGAAAAACAGTAGTTCCCAGTTCCATTTCTTATGTTCAAATCCCAGTCCCCAGAGGCAACCGCTTTCAACTTTCTTAGTTATTTCTTCTGATGGTTACTAAAATAAATATCATTACTAAATAGTATGCTTATACTGCTATTTCTTGATTTTTAGATTTATAAGTTGATTGACTTTGTATTACAGAAAATTCAGAGGTGAAATTTTCACATCACATTTTTCATAAAAAAAAGAATGTTTAGTGTAGGTGCTTTAAGGAAAATATAAGATTTTGAGTTTTCTTAAGCTTTTTCTTTTGTTTTGTTTTTAATATTTTTATTGATTTCAGAGAGAAACTGAGAGGGAGAGAGAGATAGAAACATCAGTGATGAGAGAGAATCATTGGCCTCCAAAGGGGGACCCAGCCCCCAACCAGCGCATGTGGCCTGACCAGTTATCGAACCTGTGACCTCCTGGTTCATAGGTTGATGCTCAACCACTTGAACCACCCTGGCCAGGCAGATTTAGAGTTTTGTTTTGTTTTTTAAATAAGTAGAAGGTAAAATTCAAGCTCTTAAAGTTGACCAAACAATAATCTTGTAGAATTTATAATGTCCTAATATTTCTTAATATTGTGTCATTTTGATTCTTATCCATTAGTTGCAAATCTTGTTGAGAGTTTCAACATTTTTGTATACCGTTATTTCATTAATACTTTTGCTTAAAATCTTCATCTTCATTCTTTAAACAAGGATTTTTGGCCACTATAACCCTGAATTCACCTGTTTTGTACTTTCAGACACACTACCTCATCTACGGAAGGGATTTCAGACTTGGAATATTCCCCAGTTTATGCCATTCGCTCTTATGCTTACCTGTTGCTTCATGCGTGGCCAGCTGCATTCATGCAAGATTCTACATACTAATAAGGTAAGGGCAGGCCAACCTGGAAGCAATCACAACCGATCAAGAGGTGAGAAAAGGACAAAATAGTTTGGTAGTTAAGAGGAGACATTTTCTAGAAGAAGAATTATTTATTCATTCATTGTTCAACAAATATTAATTAAGCAACTTTTGTTTGGTAGACACTTCATTAAGTGCTATGGATGTAACAATGACCAAATCCCTGCCCTCATGGAATTTATGGTTTAATAAAACCATCAGAAGAAATAACTAAGAAAGTTGAAAGAAAGCTGTTGCCTCTGGGGACTGGGATTTGAACATAAGAAGTGGAACTGGAAACTACTGTTTTTCCTTAAAGTTTTGTAGTAATGGTTAACTTTAAAAACTATCTCAAACTATTATTTTGATTTTAAAAAAATTTAAGGAAATTGCAAATTATATCCTTTCATAAAACAGTCAAATTCTCATTAGTCTTCAATTACTACTAGCCTGGCCAGCGTGGCTCAGTGGGAAGACTACTTGTAATTGAGCAAGTAATTATAAATGTAGTGAGTCTTATGAAGGAAGAGTACCAGTGTGCAGTGGGATAGCATATTAGGAGAGCCTACTTAAACAGAGTGCTGAAGGATAGTTAGAAATTAAACCGAGACCTAACCTGATTACTTTTCAGAAATATGACTATGATGTGTCTTGGCATGGAATTCTTTTGGGTTTGTCTTGTTTGGAGTTTTCTTAGCTTCTTGAATCTTTAGGCTTATGTCTTTTGCCAAATTTGGAAAGTTTATTTTAAAAATATATATATTTTTATTGATTTCAGAGAGGAACAGAGAGGGAGAGAAAGATAGAAACATCAATGATGAGAGAGAGTCATTGATCAGCTTCCTCCTCCATGCCCCATAATGGGGATCAAGTCATATGCCCTGACCGGAAATCTAACCGTGACCTCCTGGTTCCTAGGTCGATGCTCAACCATTGAACCACTCTGGCTGGGCTGGAAAGTTTTTAGCTGTATTTTCTTTTTTTTTTTAGTACTTTTTCAGCCCTGCCCTGTTTCTCCTTTCCTGAGACTCTAATGATATGAATGTTAGATATTTTATTTTAGTCCCACAGGTCCCTGAGACTCTGTTCTTCCTCCTCCCAACCCCCAGACTCTTTTTCTCTGTGTTGTTAAGATTAATTTCTAATCTTTTGTTTTCCTGTTCACTGATTACTAGTATTTGCTCTGTCCCCTCCATTTCACTGTTGACCTACCCATTGAGCTTATATTTTGGTTATTATATATTTTAAGTTGTAAAATTTCCATTTGGGTTTTCTTTATAGTTTATATTTCTTTACTGAGACTTTCTATATTTTTCATTTGTTTCAAGCATGTTCTTAGTTGCTCATTGAAACAATTTTACAATGGCTCCTTTATTATTATTATTATTATTATTTAAAAAATCTCTATTGTTGAAAATATTACATATGTCCCCCTTTTCTTCCCATTGACCAGCCAGCCCCTGTCTCCCCCCCCCCCCCCATC